TGATCTGACAGGAGGCTTTTGGCTTCAATTGATCAGTTGAGTGGCTGAACGTCCGGTTAAGAGGCCACTCAATTGATTAAATTAATTTTTTTTGTGAAAGGAATCGCACTGACAGCAATATGTGATAGTGGGAACATCAATAAATGTATTATATAATGAATACAACCCAAATATTGGGATATGGGAAGATGGAAAAAGTTTCGATTTGCATACAAAACTTTCCATCCTGTAAGTTTCTACCCTTTGTTGGGTTTTTTGTTGTTGTTTTGTTTCTTTTTTGTCAGTTAATTAGGTATAATAAATCTGGTTGACGTTTTTAGCAAATCATAGTGGATCCTCTTTCAGCCAGCTTCATTTTGAGGCTGGTTAATCAAACTGAAGCAGATCTTAATTTGATCACTTTTCCAACTTATTTCAATAAGACCTATTGGCAGATAGGCTATAGAGTATATTTGAATGGGACTAAATCAAACACATCAGTGAGCATCACAATTCCTAAATGACCAGCCATCAGAGAAGCTTTTGTGAAAAGAATATCACGGCCATGTTATAGAGTGGAAATCCCTCTTGTGGTGTGGCCACGCGCGCAGCCGCGTGGAGGCTGGCCCCGGCTGCACTTTATGAATGGATGGGTGTGGCACGGGCGCCTATAACGCGGCGGCCGTCACCGGATCGCTGATAGGGCGCCGGCGTGCCGTACGTGGAGGATGGTCTGGAGCGAGACATAGCTGCATGGGCTCTGCCACCGCTCTCATCAGGCAACAAACCAAGCAGAGACGAGCAGAGAGGGAACGAAACAGCGGAGTCAACCTTCTCCCCAGCCAGGACTAAACTTCTTGGAGAGATATCGGTGAGATAGGGGACTCGTATTGCCTAGAAACAGGGGTGCGGTCGACCCAAAAGCACGAGTTTTGCCGTGTTTTTGTTCAATTTTAGTTTATAGATTTCTAGTGAAAAATGAACAAAAATAAATAGCGAGGCGAGATCGAGCAGATGTGAAGAAAAATGCATGAGAGTTTAAAGAAATAAAACACAACGTTCCGCAGCATCGTATCGATTTTGGAAGAGAATTGATATGTTGAGCAGCTGGGATGCGGAAAAGGGAAAAGAAAAAAAAGAAAAAAACTAAGGGAGAGACAAGAAACCAGACACAAAAGAAAGTCGAGGCAAGGTTCCCCTCCTTCTTATGTTCCCCTCCTTGTAGGTGTGACAGAAACAACAAAGGGACGTGGAAAACTCGCATCAGGACCACAGGCGGACAGCTCGACCCAGACATATCCCACAGCACAGGACCGGGCGGGGGGGGGGGGTTGCAAACAAGAACATGTCTGCGGGGTTTTGCAATATGCAGCAGTCTCCGTGTAATTACATTCCTCCTGGCGTCTCCCGGCTACAAGAGTCGGGAGGATTTTTCTTCTGTCAGCTCCGGCGGGTCTTCGCTGAACACGAAACCCAGCCGATCATTTGAAGACTTTCAAGTCCAGACTGACGCGGGGGCGATTGTTAAAAAACGTATGAGTTTGGATTAGATGCTGCTGTGCGGAGGAATGCTCTGAAGTGATCTCATTTGTTTGTCCCCCCTTGCAGTTGAATGGGGAAAAGCGAGAGACGAGCGCTACTCAGAGTGAACTGGTGGGGAAAGAGCTGGGAGGTGTGATCTGGAAGTGTGCGTCGAGGGGGAAAAAGGATCTGAGCTGATCGCTGAGGCGAATGTCTGAAAGGTAGGAGCCGAGAGTACTGCTTCAGTTATTAACCGATGGTTTTAAAAAACATGTATTTAGGCGAGACTTACTTTTAAAAGAAGTCTGAGGGGCAGGCTGCATGTGGACAGGCAGCGAGGGGGTTGCATAACGGTTCAGATTGGGCTGTTTACTCTGCACTTATCGACAAACCTCAGACATATTTCGGAATAAATAGCATTTGAAAAAACAACCGCTCCAAAACTGTTGCCTTTCAAGTAGATGACTAACTAATGTGCAATTACAAATGTTCTGACTCGGACTCAAGTTTTTGTCTTCTCTAAAAAGGTTTGTATTAAAGTTTTACTGAAGAAAAAACACATGGGTGGAACATATTAAACTGACCCACGAGAAAAGCTGCATCTCACTGATAAAGTATGTCCCTTTCGTTTTTTTTCCCCCTTTGGTAAGTTTTTTTCCCTTCTCACATACTTACATACATAATTATTGTTAAAGGTTTTCATGTCACCATGCAACACAAACAATTAATAAGATTCAAAGTATCAATACACTGTGACTGGATCATGCCGGGTAATCCACTAGAATGACATAATGTCATCATTTCACTCAGACTTATCCTGTGGTAGTATTTAAAAACAAAAATCTGGAGTGGATAGATTTCCCATGTCCTGCCCAGACCAAGTTCATACTGCTTTAATCATCATTTATTTGATGTTATTAAGTACTCTGTCTTTGCTTGCTGTGGTTGACTACAGAAATGGACATCGCCACCATGTAGTCTAGGAATGGAGTCACGCAGTGTCTAAAAACAGTGGTCGCCTCAGCTATTGGACTATAGACATGGGAGGCACTGTGGTATTTTTGACCAGAGCTAAAACACTTTCCATTTATAAGTGAAGGCTGCAAGACCACATTTCCTGATGTTTCTTTTTGTCTTTATCATTCCTACCCGGGCACGCTTAGAAAACATGGTGGGTGTGGGTATGGTCAGATTGAGTTGACATCGGTTCCTCGGCTTCAGCTCACTGCTTTTGTGTTTTTCTATCAGCTGTGGAATTTGAACCATTCTTCCTTTGGGGTGAGGCCCATCCCTTCGTATGCCCCTGCTCAGAGAACTACGCCGTCTCAAAGGAGCTTGCTTTTTTGTGTGTATAGAAGGTTGGGTATATCTGGGGCTTTCCCGTAGGGATACACACCAGACAATTCTGGCTGCTGGATGGCTGGAACGGTAGGCCAAGCCCTCCCAGCTGGGAGTCATATAAGAACCAGTGTCTTTGTGTGAGCTGAGCAATGTGCAATGTCTCGTGAGCACCAAATACACAGTTACACACACACAGAAATCTCTCCTCCGGGCCCAAACTTCCAGAGTTACTGGGAGCTGACAGGATGGACGTTCTTATATATGTGTGTGTATGGATGCAGAGAGGACTTAATCTAAATATGACTTATTTAGTTAAGTCATTTTGTCATATGCATGCACACACACTTGGACATTCACACACAGAAAGGAGCAACAAACCTTAACAGAGCCTCACAGTTGTTGCACAGTGGTGTCTTCTCTCATAGGCACCACATGATGTTTGTGCTCTTTACTAAGTTTTGCAGACAGACAAAAAGGATGGAGGGAACAAAATAGAATGTGACAAAAAAGAAGTGATTGTGCCGAGGGTCCAAACTGTCTAGTTTGTTTTTTGAAGACTGCTTCTGTGTTTGTTCTTCGAATGGGGTGTCTGTGAGAAAATAATGTGTATGCAAGAGCAGAAAGCGTGAGGCAGAGTGAGGCAGGTTGGAGAAGGTAGACAAGTCTCGGGTGCTAGGAGAAGTGAAGAGGAGAAGCATATTGTTTGAAAGCAAATAGGAAAGAAACTGAGTCTTGCAGAGTAGAAAGAAGGCGGGAGGAAGGGACGCAAAACTTTAGGCAGAGGGACACGAAGGAGGGAAAAGGAAAATAAAAAAAGGCTTGGCCAGTACTGAGAGTAAAGGGAGTTTTCTGTTTTTTCACTTTGAGTGATTGGCTCTGTCAATCTCAGCAGCTCATCTCAATCCAGTGTCGCTATTGGTCGACTACAAGATAAAAAAAAAGCATTCCTGACATCAAACCAAAACAGACTACAGATTTTTTTTAGGTGTAAGCTGATTGTTGCGCCATGATTTTACTATTGTATTAGATAAAACTCCCTCCACACGAGACAGCTCATGTGTGAGGGGATGAGTTGTTTCTGCGGTGAGAGGCAGGGATAAGAGGGTGTCGAATTATGAGCAGACAGGAGAGGGCTGGACCAGACCGAGTGGATAAGAAGAGATAAGAAGTACAGTTCAGTTGAGAGTGGGTGTCTTCGCCCAGTCACAGCCGTTCAGACAGCTTTTGGTTGGAACGGGGCCAGGGTCCGACAGGGGGCTGTGTCCAGAGGTCCGGGATGGCTGCACTGATAGGGAGGCATGTTACACAACATCACTGTTGACTGAATTTAAGAAAATACTTCTGGGTCAAAGGTTGAGTCCTGTGAGAACTGTTTAATTTTTACATAAGAGTAATCTCTACAGTTCTTTAAATGAGTTTTTTTTCAAATCCTTTGTTAACCCTTTAAAGCCTGATCCAAGAAAATATAAAGACAACATTTTATGATTTTTAGTCGGAAGTTTTTATTTGGCCCTTTACACAATATGAAAAGTTTTGAATATGTATAATGTCTTAACATGAAAAAAAAGTCAGAATTATTATCATGTAGGCTTCTGCCCAATTTTATCAGGTATATCTAAGTTCCTACAACAGGATTTTGAGCTGTTTTTACCACTAAATCATGCAAAAAGTCTCAGATGCAAATTATTCCAGAAACCATTTGTATCAAATATGACACATGTGGCATTATAGGTTCCATTTAAGGGAAAGTCTCAGTTAACATCCTTGCATTCTCTCTCTTTTCCCATGAACTTTATCCTGCAGAAGACTCCACCTGAGCTCATATTCTGCATGGCCTGGCTTCAAAATGATATATTATCCGACGTCATGGCCAGTTAGAGTTACAGCTTTGATGTAGCTTGTAAAGATGATGGCTGGTGGAGGGATATTTGAAAAGAGATCTTGGGGTGATTTTTTTAGGCCTGGCAGTTAATATATAAATCCCACTCCTTTTGACTGTCGCAGAATTGGCAACATACAAACAGGCCGAACATTTCCACTGTACGCCGTGTAATGGCAATTCATACTTCATCTTATTCATCTTATCTTCAGTTGCCTGTCATATCTGCCCTTCGTCCAGCACAGTTGTTAGTTGAGGCACTTTTGGTGCTTGGCCAGGGATGTGCTCACTGTGCAACTGTTTGCACAGCTCAAGAATCGACATATGCTGGGTCAGCGTTGCAACTCAAGTAGAGTACACACGTGTTCAGTACGTCAGTGCCCAAGTAGCTTGTTGAAAACCATGAAAGGCTATATCCTGGTTACAAACCCGTTTCCTAGTAAACTGATTAAATTTAGTTACACTTTTGTCTAGAAGAACTAGTTATTGGTTAAATCAGTGCACAAAGTGAAGCAAAGTATGTCGAAATCGTAGGTCTTGTATCCCAATTTGGGTCTCAGCTGTTTCTTATTCTTTTTTTTCTGATTGTGTTAGTCCTTACTCTTTTTTCTGTACGCGTATTTCTGCATGTTTGCAGAGGAAAAGATTGTGTGATATGCTCCAAACACCTAGTTACACCGACTGGTTTCTTGGCTGTAGCTTCTCTCTATTTCTGTTCACGTTTGTGTCTATGCCATTCTGTTTATCATGGTGGTGTGGATGCAACACCCCAACAAAAACAAATCCTGCTGTGTGTCTGCTTGTGATTATGCAGGTATATTTTTGCAGGTCTGAATACAATTTGATCCCTGGGTGCTTCCTTTCCTTTCTTGTTTTCAGTTTTTAAAAAATTTTTTATAGCATCTGCTCCCCTCATTTGTGGCAGAGAGCTGATCCCCATGGGTGAATTGGATCCAACGTCATATGACTGAGGAAATGCCAACTAGGTATTCAAGTGTGAATTGTCTGCTATCACAGACTGGATTTTGCACCATTGGAGGGAGACCTTCATAATGAGGGTTGGGCAGTCTACCCGCATCCCCTTCAGGACCTAGCACACTGACCCACACCCATGTATTTCACATGTCTGCATAGGCCCATATGTCTGGCTTCTGTGTTGTTAGCTCAGTGTAAATCCTTAGCGTTTCCCATTCACAGTGCCTGCAAGCCTTCGCTGTCTGTCTCCTTATCTTCCTGTTTATTTTCACATCTTGCCTGCCTCTACATCCGTCTGTCTTTCTTTTATAACCACACTATGCCTCTCACTGAATGAGTACAGACCCCAATTAACACCTACAAAACCATTGATGTCTGTTTTTGGCCGGGACAATTTTGAAGCAGAACGTGTAGAGTTTTGTGGAAGTTTCATCAGGAAAAAAATGTGGAAAGAGGTTCTGCCGTATGTAGGTCATCGAGGCATTTAAATTCATGTAATTTCAGAAATCAATGACTTGTTGCTGATATTTAAAGTGTGATTTGGAGCAATAATTCCTTTTTTCACACTCACAATGCCTCTGTCTCCACAGCTGAGTGTCATCACAAGCAAACACTGGAAAATCTTCCAACACACCCAAACTCATTACCAAACAGACGGTTACCGACACAATGATTCACACACTGAAGAATTTTCAAGTTCTAAGAAAACTACAGTGCCTTTCACACTGAGAGAACATTAATGCATTGACAAATGGTTGAACCGTGAATATTCATATCTATCCGTGCCCTACATGAGGCATTAAAATTCATATTTAGGAAGAGAAACACCCAGGGATGTCCATCCTGCTAATTGGGGTTAGTCTTCTTTCGGTCTTGACTTGTGAAGCTACATTATCTTAATCTGTATCTGTGCAAATGTATTTGTTTGCCTCTGTGTATCCACAAGTAAATGTGTTTCCCTTTACAGTTATTGTCTTAGGTTAAAGGGGTAGCCTTGCTTCTCCGGTTTCTCTTTCAGGCTCTGTTTCTCACTGGTGGTAGCAGGTTTACAGATGACAACTGTCATGCTCCAAGTCAGTGTCTGTGATTTGTCTCCTCATGAAACTCTGACTCAAGGCATGTCATGTGGTTAGGCTTCATACTTTTAGCTTGGATCATTATTTTAGTCCAGACATACTTCAGGGAACGTTCCCCAAAATAGAAATGATAACGACCATAATTGGAAAGAGAGAGAGAAACATAAATGTTGTGAAACACAGAAGTCTTTTTGCCTCTCATCATAGCTTTTATTTCCTTTACCGCAAAATGACCTGGGATGGGAGTGAATCTCTAAATGCTCATGATAACATAGTGCTTGAATTTTAAATTACAATTCAAGGGTGACAGAAAAAAACCTCTTAAACATATCTTGGGTCATCTGAGGAGAGACAGTTTTGAAATTGTCATACTGCCTCTCTTTGTTTTTGCCTTTGTGTGTCCCTCTGGAATAAAATACCCTCTTTTAGATTAAATAATTTATTAAGTTGACCATTATGACCTCTGCTTCATATATTATGAACACTTATTACAAACAAATAAAAAAAAGATGCTTTGTAATGCAGAGCATTGACTTCTTAAATCTCATTAGTCTATTATGACTGTTATGATCTTGTAAATCACGTGTAATCTACCTTTCCCTTTACAGAAATAGGATTGTACCATAATGCAATTCAATGTTGGTTTAGTTTAGCAAATCTGACCTCTTAAATAGATAACAGCTATATTAATGTACTTCGAGATTTGGCCTTGTTTGGTGCACAAATGACCAGGGAATCATTGCCCACTTCATCTAATGATTAATTTGCTCAGAAGGAGTTTTGTCTTCAATTGTTACGGATATAAAGATCTATGGTAGCACACCATCCGAAAGAGCTTCCACCCTCCCACCCCTCGCTGTTTTTCACATGTTCAGAACCTGCGACTTGGCAAATAAATGACGTAGTCCCAGTGTGTGATGATTATGTTACGCGGCTTGTATAGAAGGCCACTGGGTAGCAGAGCAGCCTTAACTGACCAGAGTATAGATTTTTCCATTACACTATCCTAGAACAGCCTCCCTGCACAGTGTATCAGCGGCATGGGTGTTTGTGTGTATACATTTGTTCTTCTTGATTATTGACATTCCTGCACATGGAAGCGCACACGCCTGTCCATTGAGGACATTCAGGCCAGTATTGAATTTCACTGGTGGAAGATGACATTCAATTTTCTACGTTTGCTCATTTTAGCGGTTTCAGCACAGCTGAAGGATTACATGATTCTTTCTTGCCTGAGAAAATGATTTCGCCACAGAGGATTATTGAATCTGCTCAAAGCCCCATTGGATGAAATTAAAATTCCAATGCTTTGTAGCTAAACGCTTTTTACTTTGCAACAGGTTTTTTTTTATTTATTTTTTTTGTGCTCTTGGGTGATACAGTATAAGGAACTCAGCTGAGCAGGACAAATGAATAAACAACATGCTGGCTAATTGAAGTAGACACAAAAAATGACCTTCCTGTTATGTCTCGAGTCTCTGTGAAGTGGTTTGTTTTTCAGTTTGGGTCTCAGTCTTTGTGATTTTTGTTTTTTCCACTGGAATATGTTCCGTCCCCCTTTCTTTCTTCTCTTTATTTCTGTCTGTGAGCAACTGCTGGTTTCAAACAGACTGAGGGCGGGCTCACTGATGCTTGATTTGCACAAAAGCAACGCAGATGTAAAACGTAAATGACCACATATCATGTAAACAAACCTAATTAATCAAACTATGTGAAAGTTGAAATATTAGATTGAAACACTTATTCTATGAAAAATGATTTCTCTGAAAAATACATTCTGCAGAATATAGTAATCAGAAGATAGTGCCTCTGTGCTGGTTTTTGACCTTGTTCTGCAAGTGCTCTGATTTTCGAGCTTTTTAATAATACTATTACTCACTCATGAATGATTTGGGTTATTTATTTGACACAATCAATTGGACAGAAATGACATCCAAATCACTGTGATCTATTTTGCTAAACTTCCTTGGGGTTTTAGACACCACGAGTTCAGCTGAACATTGGGCACATCTGGAGTTATCAGTTAATGGAGCATCAGTTATTGTCTGAGTCTCTTGTAGTATTTAAACACATAAAACAAAGAAAAACTAATTTAGATTATTGCTTTTAACTTCAACAGATCAGCCACTGGTTAGATTTGACCAATAAAACTCAAATCACTGGTCAAAGTGAGCTGTGATAAGGTTTCACAGGTACAATCTGCTTCATTTTAATAGCTCAAAAGGCATATTTAACAGAAACCTGGGATATGGGCTGCAGTGTTTTGTAGAGCTGAATATGGACAGGGTGATCCTCACAGGGGCCACTTCTGCTGCTCTGTGCCAGAGCGAAGTCCAAAAGTGTTTGTCCTGGCTGTGCCCTCTGCTTGATCAGGCTGCTATGAGAGTATTGATTGAACAGTGGTGAGAACAGATATTTTCCCCTCCTCAGAACTTTAACACTCTCTTTTACCCTGTCCATCCTTAAAGTAATCTCCATGAACCATCTCACTTAGTTTGAGATATGTTTTTTTTCCTTCCTAAACCTAGCAAAGCATCTTTCTTTGGTTGTGGATTTGTAACATCATTAAAAAGAGTAAGATGTACTCCCTCCTGTTTTACCGATATGACATATAGATATTGGGAGGTTACCACTCTCCCAACATTACAGAATTACAGTGATGTGTAAGGTGATAGTAACAGATTAGATGAACTGCTGCGTAGGCTTCCGGGTAGATTAAACATTATTGTTTATCACCCACTGATGCACTAACAGCATATTGGCCAATAAAGCTTTTACGCTATGCTCAGTGCTGTGCTTGATGTTAGCCATGAAAGTCAGCTGTCTGCACTCAACCAGAGCTGAGGCATTTCCAGGGTCAGTTCTGACACTAGTTAGCAATAAACAGAACACCAGTGCTATGTCCAATTAGAGGGAAATGAAAATACACTCATATTACCTCACCTTGTTTTTTTGGTCAGTGGATTTTTTTGTGAAGTTAAAGTTGAATCAATGTCCCAGAGTTTCAAAGGGGATGCCTCTTCTCAGCCGATGCAACTTGAGTATTATCTTTTAAACTTTTGAGGTGTTTATACGACAAATCCAGTATTTCTGTTGCCATGCATGTCAGGAGTATTTCATTTGTAATTTCAAAAGCTGGTCAAACTAAAATGTTTTTAGCCAAGTAAATTCTGACTTTTATCACAGCACTGACAGAACCATACCTGTGTGTGTCTGTTGTTCAGTGGGGTTCAACGTCATGCTGTAGAAATGTTTGACATCATCCAGACTCAGTTTGAGAGGAGACTCCGTTTGCCTTATTTTGTGTATTTTTCAGCC